TGATACTTCGCAACAAAAATATTTATGAAATCATGTATAATGATCCCGGAAGAAAGATAAGGGATTTTTAAATTTTGTCCAGTCTTCTTTTAATATTTTGAAGAAAATGTCTACTAAATTATAATCATTTTATTTGTTCTCTTTTATTTCTATGGAATAAGCAAGCATCTAAGTAGTTTCAAAAGTATATGCGAAAGGATTTGCAGTTTATTTGAAGATTTCAGCACCCCCTATTCAAAAGAAATAACATTAAAACATTTATATTTACAACTTCATTTGACCAGTTCATATCAATGTTTATTCGTTGCCTTCGGGGACCTCTTCTGTTTGTGCTAGTCTTGGGGTTGCAGGCTTTCCATACTTTTCTGCATATTCTTCAGCTAGATCGGTGGTCTTAATATTTGTAACATGACGCTGAGCTCCAAAGCATGTCATTCCTTTTTGACTGTCTCCGCCGGAGTATCCCATATCTGGTCTGAGAACGGCTGAACCTTCCCTATCTAATTCGTTGACCTTGACATCAGATATATGACGGATTGCGCCAAACCCTCTCATGCCAGCCTGACTGTCGAACTTGTTTGTACCACTCTGTAGATTGATCTCTCTATTACTCTCTGGGTCATACTCGTCAGCTCTAATATCGCAAATATGTCTGACAGCTCCCATTGATGTCATTCCTTTCTGACTGGCAAATTTATTTGTTCCAGACTGAAGTGATATCTGCTTTTCCGATTCTTTGTCAAATTTATCAGCCCGGATGTCGGCAATATGACGTACTGCACCAATTCTCATGCCCTTTTGTGAGGCGAATTTGTTTGTACCGCTCTGGAGCCCGATGAGTCCACAGCTCTGTTTGAGTTGTTCGTATGAGAAATTGACATCATGTTTTACCGTTGGTTTAGAACCGATTGTTTCACCATTAAAATTCAATCTTTGGGCCTACAAATATAAAAGGATCTTGTTTAATCGAGGATATCCTTTACGTTAAATTTTGAAATGAATGTTTTTCTTATGTGTATACATTTTTTCAATAGTACAGAAAACGTATTGAATATATATATCGTAACAAATTTCATCAAGGTACACAACAATAAATTGATAACACGCAAAAAGAAAACCAGAAATAAAACTCAGAAATCATTGGGACTCACGTGCCTCAGGCGGTACAATCAAATATATGAGACCTTATTTTTCAATATAAGTTTTAAGAGTGACATTTATTTTTCGTTTTCGTTATTTACGTTCTTAAAAGTAGTTCAGTGGTTTAGTCAACATTAAAGCCATGCAATGAAAGGAAAGCCACACTGTTAATAATATGTAGAATGAACTATGTAACAAAGTAACAATATCTAAATAAATATACTGTAATAAAGTGTTGTTTGTGGTTTCTTCTTAAACGTTTTAAAGACAGGCTTCGGAAAATTTAAAATAATAGATGCATGAATTGTATACACATTTTTTTTATTTCTTTAATTAAACTTCTAACGAATTTGTAAAAAAATGAAAGACAAAAATAATTCTGAAAAAGTTCTTAAAAAGCAGATTTTTTATTACCATTCAAAAAAAAATATAAAAGTATGAATAAATTAATACTATTTTTTTTTCATTAAAAAAAGAATTTAAGAAATGCTAGAATTAAAAATACAAATTCGTCGATGTTTATTTGTGTATTGCATACTTTTCAGTATGAAGTAAATTATTGTGAGGTAGTTCGATAATATGTAGACTAGGAAAGACTGGAAAATTCATTCCTCCTTACCATGGTATAAAACTGCTGGAGAACATCAGAAGTCCATAGTGAAATACTGCAGCTATAGAAAAAAACAACACCATGATCGAAGATTGATCCTCCATGTTTTGATCTTGGAATACAACACCATGATCGAAGATTAATCCTCCATGTTTTGTTCTTGTAATAACTAGATTACAACGATGGTCGCAACGATGTTTGCGGTATTCAACGTGCGTGTATACTGACAGGTTCGCAATGTTCTATACAGTGGTATATGTATACAATTCCATATCTGTAACTTTACTCGAGTCTATACCACATGTCGCTATTCGAGACAATATTGGGAAATTCTATGAGATCTATGGCAATCAAATTATCCTTGGTTATCGTCAAATATAGCTCCATTGTGTTCTTATTTGTTGCAGCAGCAAACAAAAGAAGCTGCACACAGTATAGTTAAAAGTATACATCCCCCCTAGTTATTGTATTTATATATTGACGAAGGTTCCATGCTCAGTATAGGTATGATAAAAAGTCAAAGTAATGTCAAGACGTATCTGTCGTGTGGCGAGATCTGCAAATCGCTCTACAGTGCAACGGGAAATGCTTTGTAGATTATAAATTTAGATTTATTCACTCAAAACGATGTACTAGGCATTCACAACAACAATAGATGCGAATAACCTGCTGTCATTTTCGTCGTTCTTTAAAAAAAAAACCTTTATCCTCTTTATGCATAAAATAAGGAGACAATCACCCTTAAAATGTCGTGAATTTGAACAACTACAGTTCACCGTACGGTGTTCAACAATGAGAAAAATCCATACCGAAAAGTCAGCTCTAAACGAAATGAACAAATGTGAAACGATTCAAACAAAAATACCAACGACCGGAGTATGATTAAACAGTAAAAGAATAACAAATATGACAGACAGCAACGAACGACAACCAGGACAGGCACATACAGAATGCAGCGGGATTAAACATGTTTGTGAGCATAAGAACAAACTATAAAAATCTGTCGGAAATTACTTTAGTTTACGATTTTAAATGAACCAACACTGGACGAAAAGGTGTTAATCGAATACTTTCGACCATAGACAAGCGCCTACATTATGTTAATCAGAATAAACATCCAGAGGGCACCATATAACTTTCGACCATGGAAAGTGCTTACACTGGACGAAAAGATGTAAATTGAATACTTTCGACCATAGACAAGCCCCTTCACTATATAAAAAGAAGTAAATCAAGAACCTTAAACCATGGGCAAGCACCTACAATATGTGACAATATGTAAATCAAGAATCTTTAACCATGGACAAGCACCTACACTATGTGTTAATATGTAAATCAAGAACCTTTAACCATGGACAAGCACCTACATTATGTGACAATATGTAAATCAAGAACCTTTAACCATGGACAAACACCTACAATATGTGACAATATGCAAATCAAGAACCCATAACCATGGACAAGCGCCTACACTATATGACAATATGTAAATCAAGAACCTTTAACCATGGACAAGCACCTACATTATGTGACAATATGTAAATCAAGAACCTTTAACCATGGACAAAAACCTACAATATGTGACAATATGCAAATCAAGAACCTTTAACCAAAAAAACAAGCACCTGCACTGTGTTAATATGTAAATCAAGAACCTTTAACCATGGACAAACACCTACAATATGTGACAATATGCAAATCAAGAACCTTTAACCATGGACAAGCGCCTACACTATATGACAATATGTAAATCAGGAACCTTTTACCACGGACAAGCGCCTACACCATATAACAATATGTAAATCAAGAATATTTAACCATGGACAAGCGCATACACTATATAAAAAGATGTAAATCGAAAACCTTCAAACATGGACAAGCGCCTACACTATATGACAATTTGTAAATCGAAAATCTTCGACTATGGACAAGCGCCCTCATGGTATGGCAATTTGTAGTAAATTGAGAACATTCTACCATGGAAAAGAGCCTACACTATATGACAAGATGTAATTTGAGAACCTTCAACCGCTAGCAAAAGCCTACACTGCATGACAAATTACATACGACCATGGGAAATGCTTACACTGGATGACAGGATGTAAATCGAGTACTTTCGACCATGGACAAACGCAGATGTACATAGAGAATCTTCAACAATGTCATGTTAGGGTATACCGAAAATGACCAGTTTTGTGGTAATATAATACCAGTTGAAAATACCAGTAGATGTACATTGTTGTAAATGTTTGCAAATATTCCCGATAAATTTGTAATTAAAACGTATTTTTCAGTAAATCAAGGATTTGTGCGTTGCCTGAACCTAACTTTTTGGTAGAAAATTCAGGAAAATTCGATGAAAGATTTAACTGTTTTAATTTTTTAAAAAAACACGTAGAAAAATCAGTCTTTTAATTCCTGTATGAAAGTGCCGAATCAGTAATAAAGCCGTAAACTTTAAATCAGTTGTACTATTTGAAATTTACAAAATCTGCAAACAACTTGACTTACAGACATTATTTATTGCATTAGTCTAATAAACACCAATCCCGTCAAAAACCATGGTGATCTCAGGTGCTCCAGTAAGATCAACATATATATCTTGCTCTATATATGACACCCATCGTATTGACCTCAAAAGTATTGACAAGTAAAATTCATTGATTATGCCCTTAAAAACGAATTGGTATATTTCCCTGCCTAAAATTGTAGTATCGATATCATAATCGCAGTCAAAATTATACATAAAAACCAATCAGGGAAAATTTTCGAATGGCACGAATACAATAAGGTTGGTTTTATTCCCATGTAGACCACAATGACTCAAAACGCAATACCAAGCACCAAATTCAATGTTTCCAGCTTACATAAACAGACAATCTGTCAACCTCAGAGTTCTTTCTTTGCGCTAATGTGTGGCATCTGTTATCATTAGCTTGCACTTGTTCGACGACCCAAGACACAATGTTCAGCACATCCTATTGCTAAGAACTATACCATTTCATTGTTCTCTCCACTATTTTATTCAGTTTATTTCTAAAACCTTCCAAGATTTGGTGTCAAAAGAATTATTTCTGATCTTCCTAAGCAACTTATTTCCGAGAAACCATTTAAAGTATATGTGATCATTGTCGACCTCTTTCAGTTTTTTTTATCCTTGTACATTAGTAAACTTTTCAAACGCCTTCTTTTAAGGTTTTCTCGTTCTTACTGTTGCCGATGCACCATACTCTCAATCAAATACAAACAATAACTTACAGAGATGCTTTATTACCGTTTCAATAACTGACTGGTAAAAACGCACAAATGAATTAAAACATGTGTAACAGTAATCTCCCTTACCAACATTTACGCCCTTAAATGATTACTTAAATTTCTTATATATGATGGAAATTAGTTATTTGAAATACTCCATACGTATATTATCCTGAAGTGGATAAAGTCATATCTTGTATGAATTTAAGGCACATTACAGAATTCCACAATATTCCAGTATTGGGAGAAGTCCGCCTAAAAATATGCATACATAATACATTTGCATAAAAACACGAAGTAGGTTTATGCCTTTAAGAAGAGGTTCAAAATTCGAAAACAAGCTGTATTATCTACAAACTTTATCTCCTTCAATTTGGGCCACAAATTTTCCTGAAATTTTCATTCCTTTTGTATAATAGATATGAGCAGGTGGAGTATTTAACAAGAAAATATGAGCATTTTTTTAAGAGGTTGCTCATTATTGAATTTGATGGGAAAGTACGGCTAATTTAGTGTTTCTGATTGACATGCACTACAATGACGAGCAGCTTGTACTTTAGTAAAGGGAAGAATGGTGAAATGTATAAAGCCATTTAAACTTTAAAACTGAATCCCAGAATTTCTAATACAAAACATATTTCCCCTTTCCTTTTTCAAATATATTATATTAGATAGTTGTTACTACAGAATTATACCTAATTAGTTATCGAATTATTTTTATATTCAATCTGGTAAGTGTCCATTTGTACCTTGTAGAATATATAAAATCGTGTTCCATCTTTGCTCATGTATTCTGGTCTATATAATAACGACCTCAAATGCATGAAACACCTATGACTAGGAGTACAGGTAGGGAGGGACCTTTTGACTTCTATAGAAGAGGTTTATGTATTCTAAAGAATATTGTTTTACTAGGAACTTGTAAAATTATAACATTTTATTCGATCACAACATAGCAAGATTTTCACATTTGTTACCATGTACGTACAGAGTAATAAATAATTTGTTAAAAGTTTATCCTATATAATACAGTACAAAAATAGTCATGTAGGTATCCATCAATGTAAGAAGAAACTTTTCACATCTTTGACAGATGAAAGACTGTGCGGCTCCGGATATCCGCTTTGCAGGCCTGCCGAGAAAAGCACAACAATCCGAGGGGAGCAAGCGAAGGTAAGCGACAGAAAAAGAAGAGTCTAAGATTTGATTGATAAAAATATAGAAAATAAAAATTTATATATTTTTGTCAATGATATGAACTTTTTACCACAAGCATGGAAATAATTATAGGTCTTGAAAGTTTGTTCCATGCATTTAAAACGACGTCGTTTAAAGGTCTTTTGAATGTCACTGAGCGATGAGACAGTCTGAGGTGATTTTATTCGTATTGTGGTTCTTCGTTCTTTTGTTCCGTGGCTTCCATTTGTTGACGGAAGGCTTGGTATTCCTTTGGCGTCATATTTAAATCTTGACGTTTCATGTCTTCGGCTAAATCTGATACTTTGATGTCTGCAATATGCCTCTGACTACCAAAGCTTGTCATTCCTCTCTGGCTAGCTCCCCTGTTTGTACCGTACTGTAGTGGAATTTCTGCTTGAGCTTCTCTATCGAGGTCATCAGCTCGGATGTCGCAAATATGACGTACAGCGCCAAATCCTGTCATTCCCTTCTGTGATGCGAACTGGTTTGATCCGGCTTGAAGACCAATGTGTGACTGAGTTGCGGGATCGAAATCGTCGGCTCTGATATCTGACACATGACGGACAGCACCAAATCCGGTCATGCCCTTCTGACTTGCAAATTTGTTTGTTCCAGCTTGCAGTGTTATAATGTTTTCTCCGTCTTTGTCAAATTGATCAGCCCTGATGTCGGCTATATGTCTGACAGCTCCGAAACCGGTCATTCCCTTTTGACTAGCGAATCTGTTAGTACCAGCTTGAAGTGTTAATAAAGTGTTTCCTTCTTTGAGAAGATCATCTGCCTTGATGTCGGATATATGGCGAATGGATCCTATTCTCATTCCCTTTTGTGTTGCAAATTTGTTTGTACCGCTCTGAAGACCAATTGTGCCGTGGCTTTGCTTAAGTTGCTCATACGAAAATTGGACTTGGTGTTTTTCTGTTGGTTTTGAGCCTATCGTCGGTCCCTGGTAGTTATGTCTTTGGGCCTACAAGAAACAAAAAGGGTTTCTTGTCATTTCATGACTTTTGAATGATTTATGGAGTTAGCAACACAAAAGCATCGCGTGCTAGCACATCAAATATGATCTCATCGGGTATCATGAAATATTTAATCAAGGGGAGGGAATTTTGAAGGGAACCGACGATAGGCATCCCCACTTCAGTTGCCATGGAAATAACTTTTATTTAATGAAATAATTTTCATTTCTAATAAAATATATTTAGATACGTGCAATATTAAAGTTATTTCATTCAATGGTATAGCGTTTGTAGTTTTTTCTCTCACTTATTTGGATTTAATCCTTAGAATAAAATATATATTGATGTTCCTTTTCAAATTGAATTGATCAAGAACTTTGATCTTGTCTTATTGCTTTTTCTGAAATTATGAATAATTTTCCTAGGCAACTGAAATCAGTTCTTAAATCAATCTCCAATGATATTTGGAACTTTTTGTTCTAATTATTATCAAATAAAACAATTATAGTAATGATTTTGTTATAACTATCTTAAACATATGTATGTATGAATCAGTAACAATCTTTTTAAATTTAAAGTTTTACTTCAGTATGAATAAATACCGTTAAAAGAAAGTGTTAAAACTAAATTAAAGTATGATATAGAACACATTGTTACGTGTAAACAATTCTAAGTTCATGTTCATTTTTTATTATTGTATTAATTGCAAGTTAGCTTTCTAGAAAAGAAATTTCATTCTTTAGTATAGACTTACTGAATAATCCCGATGAAATCGCTTTTGCAAAACCTTGCACTTGGATACTACAGGCAACAAAAAGCTAAGCCGTTATGAGTGATGCGTTAACGTTGTTACTACAGCGAAAGCAAGCAAGTCATAGCATTGTCAGACAATACATAAAATATACATTAGCAATTAAATAAGCACAACATCTAATCAAGCAAATTATCTACATGATTTTTTTTTCACAACACTACATGGATGCATTGTTAAATTACAAAAACATACAAACTTTAAATCAAAACTGAAACCAGCAATACTATTACAATGAGTATAATTATCGATTGCTGGTGATTCACTTGAGTTTGTGAAAACTGCCAAAATTTTTCCAATAAAGTAAATGGAAAAGGTAGCGGCAGCAGAACGATTAAAAATATGAAAATTGTACTTCCAAAATTACGCATCTCATTTTTTTAAATTTTATTTTACAATATGAACATAAGGAGATGTGGTAAAATTGCTAATGAGACAACTATCAGACAGAGATCAGTGACGTGGATAAAAGCAACTTTATGCCACCGTACGGCCTGAAACAACGCTTATTTCCACCTGGTTTGCATCTCATATGATTTGTTGTAAACATCAAGAAAAACAAAACAAAAGACTTATTAGTGTGTATCATTATTCAATTATTTTTATAAAATCAACAACATACAAACAGTGACATATACATGTACATGCAGAGTTTTATGCTTTCAGAGAACTTCAGACTCACTTTTATCAAATCATCTTTACAAGACATTTATACTTAAAAGCGAAAAAAGAGAAGAAGAAAAGCTAATCTTTCAATCATCATGCATATCATTAATTAGCTTAAACGTTATAATATATAATATATAAGTGCCTACCTCTGTGCCTACGTGTGAGATTGTAGCTAAAACCATAGGGAGATTTCTAGCTTCATATAATTCTACTGTTTGGAATAAACTTGTGTTTGGTACTCCGTATTTGTGAGCTGCCTTTAAAAACTTTTCAATATTTTCCATCTAAAAAAAAGGAGAAAAAGCTTTAATATATAATATAATTTATGAATGTATTTTTTTTAATTGTTAATGAACACAATTGGCGGCTTTAATTTAAAAAAAGTTGCTCATCTGTTGTAACATTACCAGTATCAATGCCATGAATTGTTTATAGATAGTCCGAGTATAAACGATTAAAATATTATACAATAAAAATATATTTCTGAACATTTTCTCTCAGAAAAATGTAACAATAAAATCGTCAAAATTCTCGTATTTTGTTTTAATTGAATAAATATGAAAGGAGTATATATCAATGAGCATGAACCTGCTCACATACCACACGCCTCCCATATAAAGGGAAATACCTTATGGTGACTTGCCGGTTTAGTTTCTTTTAGAAATGACGGCCCTATTCAAATGAGAAGAATTAATAGTGATATATTTTGATACGAGTGGCCCTCCTAAAAGAAATGACCCCCATTTAATTTTTTCGGATATTTGAACTCATTCCAAGTATAGATAAGTTGAAACCGTCATATACATTTGAAGAACATCTTATAAAAAACAATGCAATATCCCGGACGCAAGAGTTAATATGAGATATGTTTACAAGTTCCTCTCCCAAAACAAGTCCTATATTTAAGATTTTCTGATTATAGAACTCACCCAATGTATGTATGAGTAGTACCCTATATAAACATTTGAAGAGGATCTGATAAACAAAGTAAGGCACCAGCTCCGCGAAAACAAAATGATTACAGACAGACGGACTGACGTATGGGACAAAAATATTATACCCCCACAACTTCTATACGTTGGGTATAAAAATATCTAGATTGTCAATATTCTGCTTTTCAGAGAAAGACAACTGTCTTTAACATCATCGAGAAAGCTCTAAACCACCCTTAGTCTAGAACATCGTGTAAAAATCCAACTAATTTCACCAAAGATCTTTCATCGAAGGGTTATTTTATACCTCTCAGGAGGTTTCAGTAACTAGTAGTATACAGTAAAAATACTTATATGTCTTGCTACAGCGTCAAATATTCCATTGGCATCAAATGATATTAAATCAGAACTGAACCTATCAACCGTGCAAACTGACGACTGAAGTATGTTCTCAATAATTATTTCAAAAAAGATTTCATCTTTCAATATATCCAAGTATCTATTTTCTTGATGTTTTTTTTTTTCGAATTATCCTGTTAACATTTTGTCAACTCTTTTCCAGTAGGCTCGAAATCTGATGATAGGTGGTAGTCTAAGGACCTGAGGGCAGTCAACAGTCTCGAGGTCAGTAAAACCGAAGCCTTAGGTCAGTCGATAGGGTCGAGGTATGTGTTCAGTCAGTAGGCCCAAAGCCTGTGGATTTCGTAAAAGGCAAACATTAAATGAAATAGACTCGGATTTTTATTTAATAGCTCATTTGGCGAACCATTTTTTTTAAATCTATTTATTGTTACAAAGTTACCTGTTTGAAAGGCAATTCGCTTGGTGATGATTTTAGGTCTGTTTTGGCACAGGCTGCTGGGAGACTCTCAGATGGGGTTCCATCGATTACCTTCTTCATCAAACTATAAAACAGATAATTTTTATTTTAGTTTAAACCAGTTCATGGGCAATTTATGAGACCAACTTCAGATGTAAAAGTTTTAGTATTATAATGATTTGTAAGACATAAATATATAGTATTTCTTTGAGGATTTGTTTTGGTGTTGATTAAAACTGATTTTTTTAACAGTCGGAGAATTTATGTAAGTATTTAAGTAATTTTCATTTAAAATCTCTATAAATGTACATAATAACATATCAAAACATGAGCATACATAAGCTCTTTACAAAAAAGGCGAAGGATACCAAGGGGACATTCAAAACTCGAAAGTCGAATTGAAACTGACATCGCCATGGCAAAAAAAAAAGAAAAATGACGAAAGGAAAAGTCCACAAAACATTACATAGAAAACTAGAGACTGACACTAACCGACTAAATGTTACCTCAATCTTGTGCTACAAACCATTTCAATGACGAAAGGACACGTCCACAAAACATTACATAGAAAACTAGAGACTGACTGTTACCTCAATCTTGTGCTACAAACCATTTCAATGACGAAAGGACACGTCCACAAAACATTACATAGAAAACTAGAGACTGACACTAATCGACTAAATGCTACCTCAATCTAGTGCTACAAATCATTTCAATGACGAATAGACAAGTCCACAAAACATTATATAGAAAACTACAGACTGACGCTAACCGACTAAATGCTACCTCAATCTAGTGCTACAAATCATTTCAATGACGAATAGACAAGTCCACAAAACATTACATAGAAAACTAGAGACTGACACTAACAATGCTACCTCGATCTTGTGCAACAAATCATTTCAACCCTTTCATATAATCTTTAAATATTTGTTTTCAAATTGAATGTGTTGAAGGAAACTTATTTAGCATGTGTAACTTTCACACAAACCACTTCTAATTAGTGATGGAACATTTCTACTTAAGCGTTGTACTTCCTCCATCAAATTTACTATATGTTTGTTAAGACATCTAATTTTTTTTAAAACTTACTTGCAAAGAATTACACCGTCCCTCAAACTTTTTTCAACATTAGATGGACCTTCTCCGATGTCTTCTCCAATCAATTGTTTAATCCATCCTCTGACCTCATACTCAAGTCCTGAGTCATACTTAGCGCCCATCTGAAAAAAGTCGTACAAGTATTTTAATATAAACCAAGCCAAATTGTCAAAAGTGTATAATATAATTATACATCAATGTTACGTTAATATTTAAAACTGCAATCCAAACAAATAGAATCTGGAACTTCTTTCTATTAAATTGTAAAATAAATAGCGAAATTGCAGCATCTATATATAAGTAATTAGATTTTTAGTAGTTCACAAGATTTTTTCACATTACTTCAAATATATTAATAACCATCAATTTACTTTTATTGTTAGATCTTGTAATAAGTGTTGAAGTGCTCCATAGCATGCATATATACATTTAAATATATACTTTGAGTTGCTGTATGGTGAAAGACGCAGGTGTCATTTCAGATGAACCAGTTATACAGGATTTGTTTGAAATATTGGGGTTCGTTAATTAGCAGTTTATAAATAAGAGTTAGTAAGTCTAAAGAATTGAGAAGTGATATACACATGACAACAAAAAAAAACAATAAAAATATATTAATACAAATTCAGAGTAATCAGAAGAAAACATTTTAAAACAAATTCATAAGTATATGTGAGACGGGTTTATACTAAGTTTTTCTTAATCATGAATCCCTGTATTTCTGTTGCAGTTGTGCCATTTGGAAAAAAATGTTAAAAGCAAAAGCAACATCTTTCCCTAATAAGTGGAAATAATTTAGAAGCAAAGTGTGATAACTCGACAAATAACAATAATTGCAAGTATTTACATACAGGTACTGACTTGAACTAGAAGGTATGGTATTTTAAATGCATAGATGTAAACCCTAATAATACAAGAAACGTTTCCCTATCTTTTAAAATAACTAACAAATCAACATAAACAAAAGATTAAAAAACAATGTAGTTTGAAGCGTTAACTATATATTATCAATTATTTAGATTGCTTACATAGATGTATCCATAATTAGTGACCATGAAATATTAAGCGGCCATTTTGAACAGTTTTTTTTTAGAAGTTTCTATTATAATTGCTTTAGATGATTTAGAATGCCTATACCAAGTAAGGAATATGACAGTTGTTATCCATTCGTTTGATGTGTTTGAACTTTTGAGTTTGCCATTTGATTGGGGACTTTACTTTTTGAATTTTCCTCGGAGTTCAGTATTTTTGTGATTTTACTTTTTAACTGTCACCTAGAAAATTATGCAAAATATTTTAAGGTATCGAAAATTTCCTACTTATGTTGATTGTGTACTCATTAAGTGACTTTATTTTCCAATTGTATTTTGTTTTATTTCTGTTGTCATTTTACCAAAAAAGTAACATTATGTAACACACATTAATGCTTATACGAAACTACGGCTACATAATTGATGAAGTAACGGTATGTTATGAGGCGGAAGCTTTATTAGGGTTGACTGGTATCTCTGGCAACCTATCAAGTTTGTGGGAAGTTGCCGATAACAGTATTCAATATTGTGTAGCATAAACCTGCACTCTGATAAAAGTTCACGATAAAGATACTTATATATAAAGGAAAAGTCAGAATGCTACTGAAAACTGTTGACGTCCAATTGATATACTTGTTAATCTCTTCTATCTAAATTTGATAACTTTTTATGTTGGAATATGTTTCTATAGTTAATGATCGATGTACATATTACTATCATCTATCTTTAATACTTAGAACCACCCCTATCGAATCATTTCCTATATAGGTAGATTCCGAGGTACTCAACTTTATTTAGCTAACTTATGCATGTTTGCTACCTGTTTCATCTAATACCGCTTGTCCGTTTTTGTGATTATTTTAATTCTTTTTATTTGTCATATTGAAGGAACAATTCTCTTTACTTATCATATAAGTTTTAAGTTCGTATCACAAGAACTCTTAATTTTCTTTCTTAAAAATGAAGGTTTGAGAAACAAAATTTGTATGAATTGAAGTTGAGGATGTAAGGATGGAATCATAGTTGTGATATTGTATCTTTATATTATCATGTATCATGCAGGCACTGACAGTAAAATATATTTATTAAGCATTCTATCAAAAATATCTTAAAGCTTCAGACGAGGTAAACATCTGTGTGTTTTGTTTATATGACTCATGATTCTGGTATTTGGCTCTATCTTACATTTCCTAATGCATATCCCATTAATAGCACACTGCTAATCAGATACAATTAATGTTTTTGTAGAAACTGAAAACTGTAGAATAATTTGTTTTGTAATACAGCAATAAAATTTAGGTAAAAGATTTAGATATACGCTGAACATTTCTTTTCATGGAAACCCCAATCGTCGAAGAATAAAAAGTCAGTAGATGATATCGATTTTTAGGGGTAGAATTTCCTTTCATTCATTTTGGGATTTTTACCAGTCACTGACAAAGCAACACAACTAAGGCTCAATGAATATTGTTCTCTATGTATGACGTTTAGAAACATCCCAATTTTCAAATATGGCAGGGTCCGTTATTGGAAATAAAAAGAGATTCACGTAAATATAATCTAGAAAACACCATGAAGTAACATGATCCTTTAAAACCAATTAGAGAAACCTGGTGGCTAAGGAATTTTTGGTCAATGGTGGGTTATGTTATACTGGAACAAATGTTTGGTTTCCGTTATGTATATCCGTAACATGAGTTAACTCAAATTGTTTACCCTAAAACCCCCTTTTTCCCTTTGTAAAAGTATAAGCTACTTTAAATGTGTTCTAACACCACAGGTTCTTCAAAGCTTCTTTGCATGGTTTTAAGTTGCTTACCATAACCCCCCTTTTTTTCCCTGTGTAAAAGTATAAGCTACGTTGAATGTGTTCTAACATCACAGTTTTTTTCAAAGCTTCTTTGCATGAGTTTTGATATTATATGATTATAGATACTTAGTTAATTTATTCAAAGTTAATGCATGCTCAGAATTAGTGTTTACTTGTAGCTCGTGTTATAACTATTTGATCAGCTACCATGATTCTTGTTCTGTTTGCGTGCCATCACTGTACATTGATGTGTTTTCTGTAAAGCTTGCACGAGTCAAAGTTTTTCTATTTTCTACTCCTTAATTGTGTCACATTTCTATAAACGGTACATGTAGCTGCTAAAATTTCGCTCTATGTCTATGTGCGCATGCGTTATATACCCGTTTGTAAGGATTGTCAGCAGATGGTTGCCGCCTGAGCGGTGCACTTCGGAAGCTGTTGACTTTGGATGGCGATGATGCTTCCTGTCACACAAAGTGTATTAGTTAAAACCAAACATGCAAATAAATCACACTTTTATTAGTAACCACGCACAAATATGGAACACACATATTCCAAAAACTGTAAATGATTGGTCAAACGGTACTTCGTTGTGAATTTCTTTTGGACTCGAACGTTCTTTTTTGATATATAGTATAAAGGAAGGATTGATATAAGATTTTGTCTAATTTAAGATAGGTTCATACATACTAAGATTTAAAGACGGGTTGTACAAGAGTCCAGAATGGAACGATAAAATATATATCGTATCTATAATTAATGCATGGAACACATCACATCTTAATTCCAGAGAAGCTTTCAACTGTACTTAAAGAAGGGTAAAATTAAGGATCATAGGTTCATCTTGATCTTCATTCAGGGTATATGGATGTAAATGTATGTTCTGGAAAGAAACTTTTCGAAGGACAGGTTATCGTTCTTTGTTCAATTTCGGTAAGAGGACAACTTGTATATATTACCTCCATTTTTGCAATTATTAATCTCCATTTCAGCTCATTTTTTAACTCGGTTTTAGTCTTGCCTGACTGACAAAATAACACGGTAGTAAACACAAAACGAATAAAGCATTAAGCCGTGCATTTGTACAAAAGTACACGTATATTACCCCAGCGCTAAAGTACAAGTACAAAACATGGACCCGTGCAAAAGAATACTACATATAATTAATGTGCATGCACATTTTGTTGTGTTTTCTTTGATTATTTTAAAATCTGTTCAAATGTGATCAAATGTAAAAATGATATATACTTGTACTTTATTTCACGGTCTAATATGCATGTACTTTGTATAAAGGAATCGCTCATCTTAACAATTGTTTTAAGATTTGTACATGAAATAATGGGGAATGTAAATATGGTAGATAACTAAGTGTTTTGTCGTGTGGCGCTCACGTGCCGCTGTCAAATTTGATATTTGCTAAGTTCAATAACTTCCGCTGTCTAAACAGGTGCTTTGTCATTTGATGTAATTTAATTAGTAGTACATACATGTATATACATTTATTGTGCATCGTTGTCTGTGTTTTAAGGAAAGCGGCTTACGGAATTTGTTCAATGTAAAGAATGATATGATCAAACATTAGATCGGCGCACTAGGAATTCTGACTATTAATCCTACACATATTTGCTGATGAGGTTCTCTGAAAGTGATTCTATTTTTAGCCATCAGCAAAGGTAATAACCTTGACTACGTCATACATAGGTATCAAATTGCTTCACTTTCCTTGATATAGATTGTCTTAATCATCAAAGTACGCTTATTCGAAATCTTTCTCATTTTCCTTACGAAATTTTCAATTAATGCCATAAATCATGTCTCCTTATTATTATATCACAATGATATTCCATTTGATTTAAAACAACGAGAAAACATCTTGGTGATGATTCATTTGTCTGCAAATATATTCACATTTTATACGCTTAAAATGTCTTTGCTTTTCTTTCACTGAATAGGTTGAAATTTTGGTGTTTGATGTTTGTTTTCGTGTACATTACAAATCCATGAATATGAAATTAAAAATCACAGCAAAACAATTAAATCACTCACTAGATTTTAAGAATCGCAGTAAACAGTCCAATGCAGTTTAAACATATACAATAAATCTTCAAAATTAAGCAAATCAATTGCGCAAATAATTATATTAAACAAAACTACAGATATATCTTACAAACCTAAATGAAGCTATCTTACCTTACTGATGAGGGCACGGTCCATTCCCATAGGTTTCACTCTATCAGCCATTATGATTTATATGTTTTTATAAAACTAAAATCTACACAGAAATTTGGAGAAGGTAATCAACTTATTCCAAGTTACAACAAACGGCACTCAAACGAATGGAACAGTTTTCTTAAGTGAGCTGAGAGTCCCCCGACCTTGCTTCTGACGCCGTTCAAATACGAGTGGTGAAAAGGCTGAAAGTAATAATACAAATTACAACAACGGGCATGTATGGGCTATGTACATCAAAAAACCCTACACTCTTTGCTATCGTATTTCAATACGCGCATGCCTTTGCCATATAAGTGCAGAGAATAATCACATGTTGGGTAATGGTTCCATAGCAACTTAAAGCTTCTTCAATAACCAATCAAAATCACCAATACATTTCATCAATGGAGAGTTCTTCAGTTCCTATTCCTCCTTGCACTTTGGTACGTAGGGATGAAGAACTCCGTAAAACACGAAAATATGTTGAAAAAATAGTGTCTTGTTTGTTGCACACATGTACACACTTTGCAAATGTATGGCATCGGGAGTGATTATATTTAATTATACAAAACAGGTGCACATCGAGATACAAGGAATCATCGTTGCTTGATTGAACTTCTCGCTACAGATGTAACTATGTATCTATTGAAAAAAAAACTAAGATATGAAGCGATTGCTCACTGTAGATAATACACACGACAACAAAACAATTTCACTGCTGTGGATTTTTTGAAATAGCAGTGTTTTGTTTGCTTATAGACTTTTAAATACATTGTACCTTCCAATGCATATTATTCCACTATTTACTTGCAATGCTTTTGAATTGGATTACATGTTTCAAATATATTTGTCAATTATTTATATATATTTATATATTTGACAAAGAAAACTTAGAGACAATTTTTGATACGAGTACATAATTGTCAATTATTTGAATTTTACGTCGAATATACTTTTTACCTGACATAATTATAAGTTGATAAATTGTAATTGCTACGGGATATTTTTAAGACGGAAATCATTAGGAATGTTGGTGTGTAAATAAATTAAGGTGTTAAGGCAATATAAACTGTCATTCATATTTCAATCAATATATATATGTAGATAACACCAAAATAAATTGAAAAGGTGTGTTTAATGGTATTGCTGTTGGGGAATTTTGAGTTGATGACATAAACTTGTCTCTGACGGTTCACAGCTTATAATATAGTATGGATTCTTGTCTATCAATGGAGACCTTATTTCATGTTCTTAATATAACAAAACGAGCTTAACACATCTAGTCTATGGACACTCTGGAAATTAACAAGCTTATAAATCATGACTTGAAATACTGTATAAATAAAAGGGCATTGCACAAGATATAAACTCGCCAACCACCGATATTAGAGTGTAGGACGGCTTGGTCCTATATCTCGATTCAGCCATTCAAGTAATTTGATAACTGCTAGTACCTTTGGTTACTGTTAGCATTCTTTGTTGTGGTATTATTTATAATTGTTTTGCTTGAATCTTTGTTTTTGTTGTTTCTACCTGTGTTAATGAGTTATGATGTTATGGGGTATACAAGGAAAATGATAGATTTTTCTTAAACTCTAAAATATGATCTCCGAAAATGAAGAAAACAAATTAGAATTATGAGCTATTGAGTTTATTTTGTATAGATATATTATATACATTGAGGAATTTACATCTTTTTTGCTACCGCTCGTATTTTCAGTAAGAAATAAATGATAGAAATTTCTCATATTTAAGATATGAAGTACTACAATTGTAAGTTTTAAAAATGGTTGATATCTAGATTAGATTAGTTTAACCCTGCTCATGCGTATGTCTCAAGTCAGGAGTCTCAATTCAGTGAATGTCATAAGTTATCTTAATGCTTTTTGTTCTGTAGTGAAGTTTGTTTTGGTGACGGATCTTTAAAAGTCACTATTAAATTTATTTTTATTATAGCTAGACTTTATTTGGAGATTAATGTTTTATAGACATTTGTATATTATTGAAGATCCTATGTTCACACCTGCAAAGTGTTTTCGTTTGATGTTTTGGGGTTCCTGTCTAACTGACGTATACACCACATGCATTTCATTTTTTTTTTCGTATTATTTGTAGGTTCGTTTCTACATGTATCTATAATAATAGAAATTGCTTGACTTAGTGTGGTCGCTGGCCTATCGCAAAAGACGGTAGGACAGTTCTAAATATTTTTGTGACTTTATACTGTTGGTATGCTGCCATATTGAATCTGAGAATTTCCAAATAATATAGCAACAATGCCTTGATAGTGTCTTATCGACCACAGTATATCCAAATAGTCCATACAGCAACCTACGGAAAACAAATATTTTGTAGTAAAGCAATTTTAGGTACAGATTTTTTTATCGTGAATACCATAAAAAAACATATATTACATATGATTTATACCAAATATACACTCTTATAATGAAAAAATACACAAGTGTTATAGATATACAACGGTTCTAGATAAACAACCAACACTTTAATTGAACTCATGAACACAAAAATTGAGTGCAGGACGAAGGCTTCTTTTAGTACAACGCTAATATCGTATGTAATTTAAATCAAATTATTTAAACAAAGATACCTCGATGACATTAAAATTGACTTATGGATCGTTTTTAAGTGAAATACAAAAAAAAAAAAGAACAGCTAAGCTTTATCAAGTTTCACTTGAAGAATATATCATAATCATAAATAAAGGTTGTTGTCCGACGAAACTGATAGGTTGCCTGTTTCTAGGTTGCATGTCATTACTGTTCGTTATAAACAGTATCTATATATATTTTTATGATTTATTCTCTCTTTTTTTTCCATTCATTCTTTCTTTCCCTTTTCTTTGTTTTCTGTTTGTATGCACATAACGTTATGGTCTGATGTGGTGTAAATAATATTTCTACCATGCCTTAACATACTTTGTCCATTTTAAGTCATTAACAGCAATATTTACAATTTTGCATTAGCCTGTAGGTGTGTACAAGTGATTGAGCAATGAAGAATTTTGATCAATTGCCTGCAAACCATACAAATCAGCGTGTTACGTCACAACACTTAATAATAAACATATGGAATGTATTGAAGTATTTAGTAAATTACACACACGATCGGTACTCGTCTAATCCTGTTAACCATTCATTATCTGCATCTGGGATGATCCCTGTACACTATGATAAAATCAATCAGATGTTTTCAGTAGAACTGGTTTGATCCAGTACATACGATAATGGCAGACCATACACTGATAACAGAAAGATAACGAACATCAAACGGTTTAGATTTCTCGAAAATAACAGCATCTGCCTCATATATTCATTAAAACAAATGTCCACGGTATATTTCTGAATTTATTTGAATTATGCATAAAAAGGGAAGTGGGGTATACGTTAATGAGAATACATCTTAACGACCCTATTCCCCCCCCCCCCCCCCCCCCCCTTAAATACGAGAGGAAAACATACAATATTTCATAAAGAACAGTTTAACCCCCATTCAAGAATCATTACACAGATATATACGACTGCATTACACAACTAAGTAAGACATATCCTTTAACAATAATAAATAGATATTTATTCATAGCTGAGCCTTAATTCTCCTGATATAATCTTTCCTATTCACGTATTCTACATCTAGACTAGATATTATAATTCTACACAATTTTACGTTAAAACCGAAATATTTTAAATTAGTTTTTAAGTAAAAACATCTATTTTGTATCTTTCCGGCTGCATTGGTACGTACTGATCATATAAGTAAGGTATTTATAAGATAACTTTATTAGCACTAACACATTAACGACAATAACATATGTACAATGAAGGAGTGACAGTGGATTAGTATGAGTAGAATATATAAAAATATAAAAATATATAAATTATTAAAAAAAAAAAAAGAAAAAAAAGCTATCAAGTACCTTTTGATAATGAGTTTCTCACCAACAAGCATTCATTCAAATAGTTCTCAACAATTTGTAATACTGTTGGGGAATTACTATTTAGAATTGATATAAGCAAGTTGTATAATAAAGAAGGTAATTTGTAACACAGTTGTTCAATAGAACATTATTTAATTTTTTAATGAGGTTATATCTCACATATTTATAGGATGAACATTTTAAAAGAAAATGTAGTTCATCTTCAATGTCTCCATTGTTGCAGCAAAGACATATCCTACTCTGCTTTGGTATCCCTTAAATATCGCCCTCTTTCAATAGATAAAATATAAGCACTTATCCTTAATTTACATAATGTTGATTTGGATTTGCATTGATCAACATATAAGGGTCTTATATTTGGTTTATATAGTATATTTTTTTTTAAATTTATTTTTTTATTTTGATTGATGTCAGTCTCTTGCTTTTGAAAGGCTGTATCTTTGATTCTCTCTTGAATGTATTTTAAATAAATTTTGATATCAAAAGGATTTAGATTAATAAAATGAAATCAAATTTTGAAATAAGATTTTTCATATTTATTTTCCAAGAGTTTTTTTTTCAGTTGCTTTGTATATTTTTAGGGCAAGAGAATTATTTGACTATATATATATGGAGCCAATACTTTATTGCTGAAGATTCAATTCTGTATATAAAGGCAATATATTCAGCTCGATTAAACATGCAGCATTTGATGCTTTGCAACGTACTCCTATATATGAATGAACTTTCTACTTTCAACACAGAAGAATGTAAATTTTTACTTGGATAGTAATTGTGTTAAACAATGTAAATGGTATGATATTGAATCGTGTATGGAAAGCCGTAGTGAACCTATTTCCCCCTTTAGAATACACGATGAGAAAAAATCGTCTACATTTAACTCCTGTTGAATATCATTTTTGACAATATATTCTGCTTTCTTTAAAGCTAATAAGTATTATAATTATTTGTTTGACAATAATTGAATTTCTCGAAAACAGTCAAAATCGTATTAAAAGACACTATAATAGTATATAGAACGATGTAGTCCTTCCTTTACAATGCTGTAGCAGATTTTGACAGTATAAAACTGTAAAGCATAGAATTTTGATTAAATACCAGATAAAAGTACAATTACCAAATTTGTATATAAATAAATAGTGTGTCTTACCACATATCTATTTACCTTAAAATGTCATAGTATCTAACAAGCTACATAATAAGATTTACATTTAGTCAGTAGGAGATAATGGGCAATAAGAAAATAACAAACAATTGGGAAAAATTCCAAAAAAATATAAAAATGAAAGCCCCA